AAAATAATCTGATTCAACATTACAAGCCGGGAAATAATACCCCGTGTTTTGATATTTGTTCTGCAAGATCAATTCACTTTCAACTAGTTATTAAATTTTGAGAAATTTTGAGCTATATTCACTATGTCATCTATGCGCTATTATCGTGCAGAATGTAGGGTAAAGTCTTTTAATTAGGATGTTAAGCAGAGAAGCTTGAAAATTCCAGTTTAATTAGTTGAAAGGGATTAAAATGGCAGAGTTTAACTAGTTTTTTTTAAAATTTTACAGAAATCCTTTGATTGTAAGTTTATCAAATGCAAGAAATGCTTTTAAATGTTTTATGTATCCGATGGCATTTATGGTATTTTAATTTTCTTAATTCATCGATGCGAACAGGATAAACTTTCAAGAGTTTTGTGATAAGTGGATTATTCACAATAAATTAGCACTTCATGCAGACGATGCAATTAATTTTTTAATTGGAGCTTATCTTTTTCGAATTCAATTAATCATTTAATATATATGTACAATATGTGTTTGTGTTCAATCGTCTCAGTATATCTATACTTTCAGTATATCTATGGAATACTTCATCATATTCTCTATAATTTTCCCATAACACAAATAATCTAATAATTTCACGTGAAACTACATTCATTGAAGTGATTACGTTCGATATTATTTATGATTGCACGTGTAAGAAGTATTGATTGAAGAAATAAAGTCAAATTTCATTACCGTTACCGTACATTATTAACAAAATATGAGGTAAAATGAACTTTTTTTTGTTCCTCAGTTTTTTTGTTTCCTTTACGCAAAGTTAACAAAATGAAAGTTCACGAAAAAAACAACGAAATGCTGAATACGGAAAATGATGGATGACAGTAAATATCACGTAAAAGATGATAAATGATAACATATCCCTGTCAGATGACATATCAATTGTGCGTACCGGCGGGTATCGGTGAGCTTATAAGGTGACCCCACATAACACAGTTTTGGGCCAAACGAATTTATACCAAGGAGAAACACCCGTTGTTTATAAGATCCCTGCAATCCCGCTCCACTATCACCCTGAAATGAAAACATTACGAGAGCAAGAAAGAGAGCAAATACCTGAAGACCTCACATACACCTTCACAAAATGCAAATGAAATGTTTTCGTCACAAAAACCATCTTAAAGTGGCACAAAGTTGTTGCGGTTACTTAATGCTACGAACGTGGTAATTCACGCACGCTAGATGTAAAATGGGTACTGAGGAGTGTTGCCGTTAAACAGTCGAAGGTGGCTTTCTAGGCCTTAAAATTATCCTAAAATTTCTTCATCATAGTGGCAGCTATCGTATAACAGAGGTATGGGGGATCAAAGATTGAACTTGTTTAGCTGAATAAGTTCATTATTGAGTAGCTAATACCTTCCTTCCAGTTTTTAGGAGCTGTTAACAGATCAAGTAGTATACAATTTTAAATATTTTAAATTTTAATTATTCCTAAACTATATGGTAATGAACGAAAACGGAATTTGCAAGGATGGTTGGCTTATAATTTATTCTAAAATTCGACATATAATGTAAGTTCAAAGGATTGATTTACTAGAATATATTGAAATCATCAATGGGGAAAATTATGATCAGTGTGAAGTATATAATTAGATATCGAATTTTTAATTCTTTTTTGTGGTAATTAGTAAAACTGAACTGTTAGTGAATATTTAAAAATCGATTGGTCTTACAGGACAGGTGCTTGGATGGACAGTTCTATTTCTTGGCGTATGAATTGGCCCAGCTTCAATCACATCATCAATTATTCCTTCGCTGATAATTTTTGCACTCACATACTGCAACCTCGACATACTTGCTCCATCTGAAATTTTTATATGCTTGAAAGAGCATCTTCAACGATTATTTGCGGTATTGCTTTTTCTTTTTGATTATTTATTATCATTATTTTCAATTGATAGTAATATTAGTAGCATTACTATTATTGCTTTCATGTGAAAGGTTTGATAAATCATAAAATTGCTTCTTTATACGTTTTCAAGTTTTTTTGGATTTTTGAAAATTTTGAATTTTTACAGTTAACTGAATGGTTGGTATTGACTCACGTTCATTCTCACCAAATCCATAATCAAGAATATTCTCAGTAGAGTTTAGATTGAAAGTTGAATTGGGTAAGCATATTGCAGAAGTGGCTGTACCAAACTAAAAAAGGATGACTAGTTCAAGTGACTGAGGTGAATACTATGTAGTAAAATCTCGACAAGTCAAGTATACCGAGATTAATGCATTGGTGGTTAATTAAGTGAGAGAATAGGTTGAGTAAGCGAGATATTATTTCTGCAGATATTTTAATTACACTAAATTGAGGTACTTTCATGCTTCTTGTGAATCGTGATATACAGAGAGGAGATATGATTAAATTTAATGATATTATTAAATTGGGTTACCGTCAAATCATCTTGCAGTTCAATGATTGCAAAATCATATCCCCCGAAACAACCTGTATCCACGAAACTGAAAAAAATTTTTTCATAAAAATTTTTTCCCTATTTTCTACAAGTATTTTTAACAAAACTTTGTTGAATTTAAAAAGTTTTCGAACGAAACATATCTGCATAGCATCACTATAAATTAAAATGATGATACTGGTCAGTCTAAAAGTTTGAAATTTAATTCAGTAAAGGTCTAATTTTAAAAAACGGGTCCAACATACCCTTTGTGGACAGCAATTTTACGAATTCTAGCTGTCATGCATAATTGTCCATCACATGCTGGAGAATAGCTTCGAATGCATATTCCGCCATATCGTACTACAATTTGAGCTACAGCACCCAAATTTATAGCAGATCTAAAATGGATTACTAGTAGATATGCATGGCGATTTTGACATTTAATCATTATTGTAAGTGAATGGTTGATTAAATATGTTGAATTAGTGATATAGCAGACATGCATGGAATCTGAATAATTTGGTTTATAAGCAGACAGTGTGCTGCAGTAAGGATGTGTCGCTTTGAGATGATCGATCCACCACAGTAATTGAAATCTTCCTGATTGACAAGGCTTAATGATACAGCCCATGGAAATTGACCTAACTGTGCAGCCGATCCAGCCGAGATTTTATATGCTAAAATAGCATCAACCATTATAATAGTTTTGTGTAATGACGAGTGAAAGAAATGATTCAGAGATGATGTAAAAATTGAGTAATGTATTGAGCGTGAACAGAGAACTGATGAATGTTTTGGAATTGATAACATACATAATTAGTTAATATTGAGAAAGTTAAATTTATCTAAAAACTATTAAAATGTTAAAAAGGACATGAAGAAGGCGATTCGTGACTCGTTTTACCACAGTTAATTTTCAAATCTTCATTTTCCTTCACACTTATTTTTTTTAATTGCATCGCATCACCTATAAAAAAGGAAATTATTAACCTTTTTTTTTTCATTCAGGTAATACTAATTGATTATGAAAAGTAATATTACTTGAATGCATGCCAATAACTTTTGTTAACAATTTTACAACTAAAATTTTTTTTCTCAATAGAAAGTCAAGAAATTAAGATTTACATTGATTCGAGATTCATAGTTTTGGTAGTAATTTATGTGAGTTTTGAAGTAAAATATTATGTAATCCTTCTTTTTTCATTTCGGTTGAATATTAATTTCAAAACAAGCAATAAAACTAAATGGAAAATGGAATGGTCCTTGAGTAATCTGCAAATTTTAATTTGTGGTCACTTAAATTATTTTAAATTTCTGACAAATTTATAAATGAATGCATAACCAGGCTTAGCATAAACTACTATAGCATCGAGATCCAATTGGAAATCATGATTTGAAAATGCAATGATAACAATATTTGTAAACAATGCGATTGTCGCACAGCCGTTCATCGGATTGTTTTAGCTTAAAATTTGTATTTAGCAGACAAAGCATACATTATTTATGTTTTCTAATAATTTTTTTAAAAAAAAATATGCATATGTAGAAAATTATACAAATGACAACTGATTAATTGTATTCCAAACTGTTACACACTAATCAAAAGTCACCATCGTTTCAAATTAATCAAATTTCCTTTTACAAGGTACTTTGCATACTATTTCACTTTTTATTACAGTATATCTACTCAATCAATAAATGCATTCTGGATCAAATCGTTCATTAAAACATATTTATTAATCAATTTAGAGTATATTTATCTAATAGATTATTTTCTGATCAAATATTATGTTTTGTGCAATCAGTTTCATATATGTCCTTTATCCAAAGTTTGATCGTAAGATTCCCCAAATAGCAAATAAAGTTTGTAAAATTGTAGTAATCAGAATTTAAATTTATTTTAAAAAATTTTGAAATTTTTTATCGGTATATGTAGCACCTTAATTTTTTTTCCTAAAAATTAATAGAATAAAGAAGAAAAAATTAAAAATTATAATTTCAAATTTTAACTACGGCAAATGGGTTAAAAATTTTCTAATTTATTAATGAAAAAACTCAAATTTATCTAAACTCTTAAAATATTGTCATTGCTATGAAATAAAATGCAATCAAATATTCATGTTTTATCAGATTGCGTTGCGGGAATCTGTAAAATTTTTGTATGCATCAAAGAAACTTCTTCTTTTTCCAGTTCCTCATGATTAAAAGAACTGTGAATGATTTGTTGTTTTCCGAAATATCTGAAGTTGTAGAGAGTGAATTACTTGAAATCGATGATTTATTAAAGGAAAAAAGAGTTACGTAAAAACTTCGATTAAGCTGCAAATTAAACATTTGAATGAAATTCAAACAATTATTGCATGAAAATCATGAATACTACATTAGCAAATTTAGTAAATAAGATATATGTTAAAGTGGATATATTTTCCATGCATTTGAAATAATTAATCGCCACGTAACACAATTATATCAATAGGAGCATGTATTAAAATGTCATCGATTATTGAAACTTTGAAAATTATTTGTATATTCCTTTTATCATTCAAAATTGATTCAAACATATCACTTTGATTATTATTTAGCCTTGCTGGGTCATATTTTGGGCTCCAAAAAAGCGTTGAATAACAACGTTATTCTGCAAATAAACGGCAAAAATAATGTGTTTATACTAATTCTAATCCATTATTTTTTTTTTTAAAATTAGCAATAATTTTAAAGAAAGAAAAACGAAAGAATAATTTGTAATCTTTAATTCTATTTAAAAATATTGCAAAGTGTTTGCAAAAGTTTCTCTTCTTTATGTCAAGATTTATTAGAAATTAACATTGAAATAGATACCTGCGGTGTTAATGTAAAGCGATAACTACGACCACGTGGTATAATGATAAGATCGCCACGTTCAACATTTATGCGAATCCAATCATCTTCCTCTATTTCAATATCATAATATGCGCTTCCACTCATGACGAGAAATACGGAATCTACATCTTTTGCTACCGGCTTATAGAATTGTTCCAACTGTGAAATTGTCTTTTATGCATGACAACTTTTATATTTGAAAATTTTCTTGCAATATTCAAATATAATTTCAAAATTTTGAAAAAGAACGAAACTAAAAGACTTTTAAACTTTTTCTTCCTTATTAAACATTGCATTTCTTCATTTATCTGTAAAAAATTATGATATAGTATGCAAAGAATTAAATAAAAAGTTGAGTTATTTTTCCAATCTCATTTTGATAAAACAATGTTTTCTTTTTTCAAAAATATCTTGTCCTTTAACAAATAATGCTCTCTACTTTTATTACTATTATCATTATTGTTATTATTATCATTATTGTTATTATTATCATTATTGTTATTATTATCATTATTGTTATTA